CTGCACCTGTGTGGGAGACCCAGAAGAGGCTTCAGGCTCCTGGCTTCAGATCAGCATAGCACCAGCCATTATGGCTGCTTGGGGAATGAATCAGTGGATGGAAAATCTTCCTCTCTGTCTCTCCTCCTCTCTATATATCTGACTTTGCAATAAAATAATAATAATAAAGAGAAGTGGAGCAACTGGGACATGAATAAACACCTATATGGGATGCTGGTGCTGAAGGCAGAGAATCAGCCACCTCTCTTTGCTTTCAAAATTCTTGAGGATTTTTGAACTCTTGTTTCAGCCTTGCGATGTTTGTTTCAGGATTCGTTGTGCGAGCATAGGCTGCCTGGTGGAGACTGTTCAGGCCTGGTTTTTACAGATGAGTCCCGGTCTGACCGCACTGCATGAAGGACTGGGAGATGCAGAGACCTGTATCCACAGTACTGCTGGGTGCTTGAGAATGTACCACTCAGCCTTGACCTTGCTTTCAGCCTCCCAGCTGGCCCTGGAGACAGGCTGAATGGCAGAGACTGCCGGCCCTGGCACACATGGGGGGGAGGCTCTGCTCTTCACCCCTGTCCCTGCAAGGGCCAGGAGCCCCTCTCAGAGCCTCCACCCTCTTCTGTCATTCAGCTCCCTCATCCCGACCACCCGGACAGCAGCTTGGTGGCTCTCAGCAACCGAAGGCAGAGACTCAGACAGTAAGGCAAAACACTCAAGTGCAGGGTTACAGAGAAAAATCTGAGATCATGGGCCCCTGAGCATGCGGATAAGTAACAGGGTGTTAAAAGTGTGTGAAAGCCCGGTGTGCAGATGGCCGAGGTTGTGGGAACCAGTCCCGGAGGAATCTTACTGGGTACATCCCCCACCCCCCTGTGAAGACACTGTGCAGCTTGAGTCTGGATGTTTCAAAAGTGTGAGCAAGTTTTGGTTTCAGATTCAGAAGAGTGAGACTCCTGGTTAGGCTCAGCAAAAACCATCCCTGTGACTTTATGATGGTGCACTGTGTTAGAACGAGGTTCCCGGAGCCACCTGTGGAGCTGGCATCCTCTATGGGCACTGGTTCATGACTGCTACACTTCAGATCTAACTCCCTGCTATTGGCCTTGGAAGGCAGTGGAGGGTGGCTAAGGCCTTGGAACCCTGCACCGGCGTGGGAGACCCAAAGAAGCTCCTGGCTCCTGGTGTCAGATTGGTTCAGCTCCAGCCATTGCAGACCTTTGGGGAGTGAACCAGTGGATGGAAGATTCTCATTCATTCATATTCATTCTCCCCTCCCTCCCCCACACAAACACACGCACAGCCCTCAGCCTTCTTTCCCTTCTCTTCTGTAAAAATATTTCAAACAAAAACAAATCTTTCAGAAACAAATAAGGTTCCTTTGAGAATTGCTGGGGTAAAAAACCATAAGAAAAAGAACACATCATTTATCATCTACCGCATGCAGAATGCTAACAAGCATTAATAGGAGGCTGAAAAAAGTGAACAGAAAGAAGCAACCAACATGTCCAGCAACAGATGAACCGATAAACAAATGTGGCGTATCTGCACAACAAAATATTATGCAGCTTTAAAACGGAAACGATTCTGATACGTGCTAGTACATGAATGACCTTGAACACATTAAACCGAGTGAAATAAGCAAGACACCAGATTGTGCGTAACCCCACGTGTATACTGTGCCCAAGGCGCACAAATGCATGCAGTGTTCGCCAGGGACTGGAGGATGGGTGAGATGTTATTTTTTTTAACGAGCGCATAATTTCTAAGTGTAACAATGGAAAAATTCTAGAAATGGATAGCACCAATACCCGTGACCAACCTCTAAATGGTATCCTTACAATGGTTAAGACGGTAATAATATACACGTTACACAGATTCCATACCCATCACCTCCCTCAGTTCTCCAGACACAAAGAAGCAATAACGGCAGGTCTCAACTTCTTACAAAAAGGAGGAAAAACACAGACGGACCCAGCCATGCAGGCGCTCTTGCCTGGGGAGCGGGAAGCAGCCACCTGCATGCCCTCTCGCTCCCGCTCCAAGCGCCAGGCAAACGCAGAGCCTCACAACGCACCCTAACGCTCAGGGGCTTGCCAAGGTTGAAAACGCGTTCACGTCCATGTTCATGCGAAACCCCAACCCAGGATGTGCACAGCACGCGGTTCCTGACCAATGACGTCGCATCCCGAGCTCTCTCCCACCTCCCTTGCGGCGCCATGGGTCTGGGGGCTTAGGGACAGGGAGTCCTGAGGTGCGGACTGGAGCGACTGTAGGGCTCAGAGCGCTCCAGGAGCGCCCCAGACCAGCCGCGGAAAGGGCTGACAGACGCCTGCCCTGGGCACGTCCTGGCCGCTCTAGGCCCAGCGGGCAGAATGCCCGGGAGCTGCCCTGGCACCCTGGCCGGGCACGAGTCCCTGAGAGCCGCACGAGGACCGGCACAGCGCCGCGTCGCCGCAAGAGGGCAGCGCTCGCTCGCGGGGGAACCTTTCCACGTCCACGCGAGCGGGGTGCGCGGGAGGGCGGGCGCCACGTGGAAGGTACCTGTCCCCGGAACCAGCTTGAAGGGAACGTTCGGAGGGGCGCGGGCAGGGATTTTCCAGCCGAGGCGGAAAGCTGGGAGCTTACTAGGAGAGAGCGGCCCGGGAGCGAAAGGGGGCGCGCGAGCCGCCGGGGTTGGCACGCCTGGGGACTCCGGAGCGCAGAGCGGAAGGTCGCACGCAGAGGGGCAGCCGCACTCTGGCGCGCAAAGCGCGTGGGACGCGGGGATGGGGTGGGGGAGGCTTTGGCCAAGCTCACCGGAGGCTCTGGAAACCTGGGCCGCAATTGTGGCGGCTGCTCATCACGGACTTGATCTGGCAACCTCCGGGAACTCCCTGCACTCTCCCCAGGAACGGTCAGAGATACTTGCCATGTTTTCCAGACGTTTCCAGGGAAGAGCCCTCTAGCCCTTTGGGGGAGAGGGACCTGCAAACAAAGTTCCCCTGGGAACGCCGTCCAGGTCCCGCGCGCGCGCCCTTCCCGGATAGAGGAGTCCGGGGCGCGGGAACCGCCGACCCCGCGGGACGCCCCGCGCCTGGTGGCGGCGGGGGAGTAAATTCTCCGCTTAGCCTTCACTCATGGAAATCTCGCTGTGTCTTCAGCTAGCGGCCAAGCACTTGGAAAAGTTAAACTTTCCGGTGCCCAAGTGGGTTCTCTGGGGAGGACTCGTGGCGGCGCGGAGGGCTTGATTCGCGGCGCACCGAGGAACGCAGGCGCGGGTCCCGCCCCCAAAAACGCACGGGTCAGGCCATCTATCAAACGACAGCCAATGAACAACCCTGTATTTAGGACCTTGGGGCGTAACCGTAGATCTTCAAAGAGCGGTGGCAGATTTAATGGGTCATTTGTAAGTGTGACAAGGCGGTAGCCGTCCTCGGCCACAACAAACCCGATTTTTTAAGGAGTCTTGGATTGGGGACCAGTTTATTTTTAAACGGCGGCAAGGGGACATTTTAGGAGTTACTTACTAGGCCCTCCAAGGAGGATTCCTACAGGAAGCTGCGAGCTTTGATTCTCAGTTTAGCTCAACTGGTCATTTAATTCAGAAAGTTTTTGTTTGTTTTTAAGGCAAGGCCACCACTTTGAAAGGAAAGTAACACGAATGGGAATTCCGCAAACGACTGGGCTTTTCCACTAATCAAAAAAATTAAAATTTGATAAGGACATGTAACCCTTAAAACAGCATCGTCTCTGGTTACATCGTCTCTTGTTACTTGGAAAGACAGAGAGAGGAATCAAATGGAACTTGAGTGAGATTTTCAAAATTCGTTCATTTCTACCGTAAGATACTAGAAACACATACGCAATTTCCAAACTTATATTTTTAAAAATTCCTGTGTGTGCTCATATTTTCTATTACCCAGCCTGCTGGAGTAAAAATATGCTTGGGTGTTTTTAAGTATTTTAATATACTGGGGCGGCCGCGACACGTTGATTGATTGGAATGTACGGATGTTATTTTTAACCGAGAACCACGCAGCCCCTTCCCAGGCATTACGGAAGAAGTTGTTAGATCCGACGCACAGTTTGCCGGTGTCCGGGTGGTCACTAAAATTCTGTATTCGTTTTTCCGTACGCGGGGATGCCCTGCTCCATTCCCAAGAGGCCGTCGGATCCTCTCCCTCCAGCCCAGCTACGGGTTTGCTGTCCTGGCCCCCCGAGGCAGACAGCTGCAGGTGGGTGAGCGAACCCCTGCCACCCTGCATTCTGTGAGCTGTGAAGGAAAACAAACGTGTTTGGAGAAGAGCCGGGTTAAAGGGTCAGTAAACAATTATTACCGCGCTTAGCGGGGAGAGGGGTGGGGAACAGTTTACAACAGATGCTCTGGGGGAGCCGCTCACCCCGTGGATTCCGCGGCACCCCACCTGGGACCACCTGATGGCGGGGCGGTGATGCCCCCCGCTGGGTGGCTCCGAGGAGACCCCGGAGCGGGTCCACCGTGGGGTCTGGGTTTGTGAAGCTAGGTTGGAGGGCCAAGGAAGGGACAGCGGGCTGGGACGTTGGACAACCCGTCCCCCGTCCACCGCCAAGATCGGCAGCTCTGGCGTGGAAAGTGGGGTCCTCCCTGGCTCCCCGGCCTCGCCAGGGCTGCCCCCTCCTGCGCGCGAACTTTCCCTTCGGAGCTTGGCTGATCCCCCCAGCTCGCTTCCCCCTACTCCCCACTCCTCCCCGGCCACGGCCGAGCTCTGACGTGCACAGCACGTGACAGGCTCCCTTCTGCTATAAGCGCTGGGAAGGTCCGCCCTCTCCTGGACTCAGACCCGGCCTCTCCGCGCTCTGCGCCTCGACTCTCGCGCGTCCTGCCTGGCCACTCGGACTCGCCCGCTCCGGCCTTGCCACCATCACCCTGTACCCCTTCGCTGAACCGGCCGAGAGCGCTCTGGGAGGAGAAGGTCAAGTCCTCGGGCCAGGACTGCTGCGCGCCAAGCGCAAGAGGCGCGGAGATCGCGTGACGCCCGACGCGGCGGCGAGAGTGTTGCAAAGTCACAGCGCGCCCCTGACCATCGCCGTGCCCCCCAGTGTGGTGCCCCCGGACCGGGCAGGCCACCCGAGTCCAGGGCTGGGGCGCACGGGGAGCCCGGACTCCGGCGCCCCTATGCACCGCCCCACCGCGCTACAGCTATGACCCTGAGCACGGAGATGTCCGATGCCTGCGGCCTCGCCGAGGAAACAGACATCGACGTGGTGGGGGAGGGAGAGGACGACGACGACGAGGAAGAGGAGGAGGAGGACGAGGGCGGCGGCGGCGGTGGTGGTGGGCCCCGGCTCGCCGTGCCCGCGCGGCGGCGGCAGCAGCGGAGGCGGCGGCGGCGCTCGTACGCAGGCGAGGACGAGCTGGAGGACGTGGAGGAGGAGGACGACGACGACGAGGACATCCTGCTGGCCCCGCGCGAGGCGGGGTCCCCCGCGCCCCCAGGCCCGGCTCCGGCGGCGGGGTCCGGGGCCGGAGGGGGAGGCGGCGCGGGCACGGGCGCGGGGGTCGGTGGTGGTGGTGGTGGCGGCGGCGGCGGTGCGGGCGCGGGAGGCGGCGGCGCCAAGAACCCGCTGGTGAAACCGCCCTACTCGTACATCGCGCTCATCACCATGGCCATCCTGCAGAGCCCCAAGAAGCGGCTGACGCTGAGCGAGATCTGCGAGTTCATCAGCGGCCGCTTCCCTTACTACCGGGAAAAGTTCCCCGCCTGGCAGAACAGCATCCGCCACAACCTCTCGCTCAACGACTGCTTCGTCAAGATCCCCCGCGAGCCGGGCAACCCGGGCAAGGGCAACTACTGGACGCTGGACCCCGAGTCGGCCGACATGTTCGACAACGGCAGCTTCCTGCGTCGGAGGAAGCGCTTTAAGCGGCAGCCGCTGCTCGCGCCCAGCGCCGCGGCTGCCGAGTCGCTCCTGCTGCGCGGCGCGGGACCCGCGGGCGGTGCGGGAGACCCGGGCGCAGCCGCCGCCGCCGCTGCAGCCGCCGCCGCGGCCGCTCTCTTCCCGCCCGCTCCTCCGCCGCCCCCGCCACCGCACGCCTACGGCTACGGCCCCTACGGCTGCGGCTACGGCCTGCAGCTGCCTCCCTACGCGCCGCCCTCCGCGCTCTTCGCCGCCGCCGCAGCCGCCGCGGCCGCCGCCTTCCACCCGCACTCGCCCCCGCCGCCGCCGCCGCCTCCACCGCCTCCACCTCCGCCTCCACCGCCCCAGGCGCACGGAGCGGCCGCCGAGCTGGCCCGGACCGCCTTCGGCTACCGGCCGCACCCGCTCGGCGCCACGCTGCCCGGGCCCCTGCAGGCCTCTGCGGCCAAGGCGGCCAGCCCGGGCGCCTCGACCCTGGCGCGCTCGCCCTTCTCCATCGAGAGCATCATCGGTGGCAGCCTCGGCCCGGCCGCGGCCGCTGCAGCTGCAGCCGCCGCCGCAGCGCAGGCAGCCGCCGCCGTGCAGGCCTCTCCCGGGGCCTCGCCCGCAGCGCCGCCCGCACCGGCCCTCGCGCCCGGGTCGGGGGCCGGGAGCGCCGGTGGTGGTGGCGGTGGTGGCTGCGCGGCGCAGGCGGCTGCGGGCCCGGCCGCCGCTCTCACCCGCTCCCTCGTGGCCGCCGCGGCCGCCGCTGCCTCGTCCGTCTCTTCGTCGGCCGCGCTGGGGACTCTGCACCAAGGGACTGCCCTGTCCAGTGTGGAAAACTTTACTGCTAGGATTTCAAATTGTTAATAGCGCCCTGTTAGCGCGCGCGCGCTTGGCAAACAGAAGGTAGGAACCCCGGCTCCTTTCTCCGACTGGGTGGTTTGGGGGTGGGGGGTTCGGTCGGCTCCCCGGGGCGCGCCCGAGTTCGCCACCTCAGATTTCCCCCCTGGAGCCGGTGCTGGGCTCGGCTCCCGGGTCCCCCTATTTATACAAAGGTGCCCCGCGCCGCCGGGCTGGGGAGGGGGCTGGTGTTAGGCGCTAGGGCCTTCCTTGACTTTGGAAGGAAAAGAAAAACCCACCTAAGCCTTTTCGAGGTGTAGAAATTCTCAGGTCCAGGCGTTTAACAAAAGTCCTACTGCTCAAAAAGAAGCATGCAGAAATAGAGAAAATACTGAAAAAAAAAATGCCAGCGAAGCAATACTTTTAATTGGAGGGTGCTTGTGTAATGTGCTTTCTCCTGAAAAGAAGCAATGATTGACATGTTTACAGAAGCAGGAAAGAAGTCAAAGTTATCATTTTAACCTGTGTTTTTGTTACTAGACACGCGGAATTTTTATTTTGTACTTTGCGTATTCTTTACAAGGAGTATTGTAAATTTTATGGCAATTATTATTGTACTATTCTAATGTAAGATTTTACACTTTTTTTCAGAAATAAAAATGCTTACTTTTTAAAGAAAATTTCATGGAAACAGTTGGCTTCGGTTGTCCCTTCGTAGTTTTTTTCTGTTTAGAAAAAGCTTCTGTGGGAGTTAAATAGGAAGCCGGTAGAGAGTCGACCTAACTATCATTTGCAAAGAGAAGTCAAGCCACGGCCGTGCTATGAGCTTTTTCATTTTTACTTCCGAGGCAAAACTGTGGCAGGAAATCAGAAGTCATTTTTAAACGACTGCAACTGAAAGTAACCTTGGCACGCAGTTCCAGATCTGTTTAGTGTTTGGGCATCTGAAAATCAGTCGCAGTTAACTCGGATAGGAATTGTTGAGTTCCCACCTCAATTTCCACTGATTTTTTAAAACGCAGTTGTTCATGGCTGAACATTGTCTGCAAGACTCCTGCAGTGACAGCGACCCAGAGGCGGGTTCTAGCTTAATGCTTTTATTAGAAGGTTCGGGAGGCTCATCAGTAACACAGCTCTCCAAACCCTGAGTTAGAAAAGAAGTACAAGTGAAAATTGTATTTGAAGATTCCAGGGTTTACGATGCAATCCCAGCTATTGTATAAAGAGGCTCTTCAAACTGGAAAAGCGAATTTAATGTTGAAGTTCTTTTAAAGTGAGTAAGGTATGTAGGACAGCTTTTGAAGGATAGTCCTGGTGTTAAGGAGAGCATGGGTAGTCACTAGGTCTTTGTGCAGTTAGTTGCACGTGTACAGTAAAGTGTTTCAGAGTAGCTTTTTCTACTTTAAGTGTTTTCTGGAACTTTCTACTTCCAGTGGGGAAACGTGAGGCTGGCTGAGTTCTTGTGGCCTGTAACACTAAGGGTGTATGCGATCCGTAATTTAAACGCAGACGAAAGTGTTCATCCACTTTAAAGTACGGGTTTAACTTGGTGGTGGTGGAGGGGGTGGGGGACAAAAGTCTGCAAGGGTGGTCAGTCTTTCATGGTGCTATGTGCTACGTTTTGCCCTCGCCCCCTTCGGAGGACAGTCAGAACTGAATCAGACTCAAAATCTTTCTCTTTTTCTGCGCACTTTGGGAAAGGTTAAATCAGAGGTTAAACACGCCCTTAAACTTAACACTAAATATAGAGGTACAAGTTGAAACACTGTTAGACCCAAATCGTAGATGCAGGAGTTACTTTTGCCAAGACCGACAGACCCGGGCCCGGAGGACGCTGGAGCCCCGCGGGCGGCCGTGGTTACAGGGGCGTGGGTAAGCGGGGGCGCCGCCTTCTGCCAGGCGCAGAGGCCAAGCGAGAGAGTAGGAAGTGGTTAGGCAGAGAGGGCAAAGACAAAGCCGCGAATATTTTCCAAGGTTTGCGCGACGCAAGGATGTGCTGGAAGCAGGCGATCCGCGCTCCTGCCTCTCGGGTTTGGACGCCCGTATCTAAAAAAGTGCACCGGTTCCGCCCTGCAACCGTGTTGGAGCTATTGCGAGAAGGGCTAGGGCGCGCGGTGCTTCCACTTCCCACCCCTCTGCGCACTGCGGCTGCCTCGTCGTAAACTCGGAGGAAATGCAAAGCTGGTGCCTCGGTGTTCCAGGGCGCGTCCTGTCGCCTCACTCCCCTAACCCTCGGGGTCTGGGGCTGACCCCTCGGCCCTTCCCCTAAGGCCGATCGCACCAGGGTGGGGTGGGATGGGGGGGGGGGGGATCGGTGAGGGGGAGCTAGAGCTGCGGGGCAAGGTGTGGGGTTGGAAAGGTGCGGGCCGCCAGGCCAGGGCCGAGAGGTAAGCGAGGAGTGGACCGCGTGGGCCGCAGGCCGGCCCGGCGAGTAGGGGTGCGGGCGAGCAGGTGCTGGAACAAAGGCCGCCGGGATCCCGCAGCCTTTGATGGGCGAGGACGGCTCCTCCCGGGGCTCCTCATTCGCATGCAAATCCTGCGCTGGTCCCCTTTTCTTTGAAGGCCAACAGAAGGATGTTTGTGTGTTTGTAGGGGCGAAGCCTGCTGGAACAAGCCTTCCTCAATAGGCTGGGTCTGGAAAAATAAACCAGTTGGACAAACATTGGCCACCAGCGCTCCTCCTCCCGACTACAAAGTGTGGATTTGCTACAACTCATTAACCCGACGCTTTTCTTCCCGTCGCCTTGTTTCTCTGCTCATCAAACGCCCCCGTAGAGCCTCGACACAAATGACCGCGGCGCAGTCGGGAGGGAATTGCAGCTAATAGAGAGAGGGCTGCGGCGGGGCTAATGGTTCAGGCGGCTCCCGGAGAAGGACCACACAAAAAGGAGCCTTTGCTTTCAGGGCTGGGTTACGCCACGGAGATTTAATCTGCAGCTAGATTTAGCCAAATGTTATCTATTGCGCGCGTAATGAAGCCCTTATGGGCTGAATTGCTCCTCGTACCACACATGGTGTCATGACCTCTCCTGCCCCTTAGTTCATTTCTTCCCCCCCTCTACCCCCGTGGGGTGATTATTTTATGTCTTTAAAATAAGAAGCTAGTGCTGAACCTGGTTCCTCGGCATCCCCCGCCCCCCCCACATATATTTTTAAATAAAAGGACCACTTCCTTTCCTCTTATGAAGAAGAAAAAACAAATTCGAGAGGCAAAGAAGGAAAATTCCGGAAGCCTTTCCCGCTTTGGCACTTGCCAGAATGGCTTGTCTCTGCCTTCTCCGGATGCTCCTTAACCATCCTTCGCTGCCCAAAGTCGGACACGTTTTGTTGTCCAAACTCCTATGGGGCACGGAGTCCACATTTATCTCAGAAGGCTTCTGCCCTCCAGTCCCCCCCCCCCCCTTTTTTTGTGTGTGTGCAGGCACTGCCTCTCCCCGAGTCTGCCTCTGGGAACTGGGCTGGTGGTTGTTCCTGGGGGTCGGGGGAAGATGATCATTTTGATGGAGCACCAGCCGGCTGACCGTCCGACCGTCCCGGCTGAGGTCACCGTTGTACCTGTCTTGTTTCTCTCCCTCCGGCCCTAGGGGCTCTGATTTCCTCGCTTGACCGGGGATGGAGCCTGGAGCAGCGACTCTTGTTATTACAACTGCTGTTGATGTACTGGGAGCCCTTCCTACTATTCAAAACCAGGAATCCAGGGCCCTGTGGAGGTTTTAAAAATCCTCTGCTCACACCTGTGCCCTTTACTCATTCTGGGACAACGGGTAGGTCCTCTCGGCTTCAGTCTCCAATCAGAAATCTGTCCAGGAACCATGCTGCTGTGTCTGGGTTTCCTGTCCAGAGGCACAAACGTGGGAATAATTGGAATGCCAGAGCCGCCCCCCCCCCCGCCGTGCACCCCTGCACACACCCGCCTCAGGACTAACTAAGCCACACATGGACAGGCCTGGGGAGCAGAGGACAAGTGAAATGGGCCGCCGCATTGTCCACATCCATTCTTGTCAAGGCTGGCTGCCTGGTGGTGCAGCTGGGTCACACACATGGGCACACACAGGCCTGCACACTTGCTCCCCATCATCAGCCACTTGCCACCCTGTCCTCTATGATTTTGTAATTAGGCATATGCTTTTGGTGGGTAAATGTGTTTGATGTCACGGCCAGGGAAACGTGGCATGTTTATAGGACCACGAACGTAAATGTGTAAATATGTTTAGTGTAAAATCTGGCCCTTGGACTTCAGCAATAAATAGCCTGCCAGCACGGATACAATTACATCTGACAGAAAGACAGAGAAGCTGATCATGACCAGCTGGTGGGGCGGGGGGAGGCTTAGGTTTCCCCTGCTGCATTCACTTTTCAGATAATTTCTTTGCACGTCCCATCTCTCTAATCACATCTTTGCCCTTGATGTGAACAGCTTGGGCTCTGTTTTATTGCTGACCCCTGTGGCATGCAGGAAACTTCCTGGTTTGTGTCTCTAGCTTCTTGACCAGGAAAATGCTCCCTTTCGCGAAGAGCCAGTGCGGATGGTGGTCACTGGGCGTGCTGGAGAGGCTAAGGGGGAACAGGAAGATGAGACTGCTACGAGCTCCTGACCTGCTGTTTGCCATGCTTCCAGACATTAGCGTGAGCATCCTAACTAAAATGGCAAGTACGCCATGGGATGGGGGGGTCACAGACACACACACACACACACACACACACACACACACACACACACACACACACACACACACACGATGGTCTGTCACACAACGAGTACCCCCCAGGTGACCAGCACCACGTGGGATTCAGACGTTACCAGGGTACCAGGATCTCCTCCCTTCTGTTCCGGTCAAGACCCTCACCGCACATTAGCTTTGGACTAGCGGCTTCTCTCAACTGAGGCAAGTGTGGACTAGAGTTATGCTTGATCCCATTTCACAGATAAACACACCAAGACTCCAGAGGAGATGAAATGCCTTGGCCAAGGTTGCAGCCCCTGGGACAAGAGCGTTGAAGCCTTAGTTTTTAACCCCACCACGTGG